CTTTATTGTAGAGATGAGGTCTTGCTGCCCAGGCGGGTCTTGAACCCCCGGGCTCAGGCAATCCACTCACCTCAGCCTCCCAAAGGCACGGGATTACAGGCTGAGCCACCGAGCCCGGCTGCCAATTCCTTTGTTATAGTATTATGAGAATTGTTCAAGGTCCGCTTATGAGTGAGAGCATGTAGTACTCAGTTCTTTGTTTTTGTGATAGATGACTCAGTGTTATAGACTCTTAAGTCCATCCAAGTTGCTGTGACGTTCATAATTTTGTCCTTCTTTATAGCTGTATCATATTCCATTGTGTATATGTACCACGTTATTTTTTTTTTAATCCAGTTCTCTTTCGATGGGCAGCATGGTTGGTTCCATGTTCTTGCCATTGTAAATAATGCATGTGTAGGTATCTTTTTCATAGATTGATTTGAGTTCCTTCGGGTATATTCCCAGTAGGAGGAATATATCTATTGCAGGGTCATATGGAAGGTTGATTTTTAGATCTTTTAGAAATTGCCAAACTGTTTTTCGTATGGGGTTGTACTAGTTTACACTCCCCCCAACAGTGTAGAAGTGTTCGCTTTTTCCCACATCTTCTCCAGCATCTGTTTTTGAGTTATTGATGATGGCCATCCTGACTGGAATTAGGTGGTATCTCAGTATGGTTTTAATGTGCATTTCTTTGATGATTAGTGAGAATGAGCATTTTTTCATGTATCTGTTGGCTGTTCATTTGTCTTGTTTTGAGAAGTGTCTATTCATATTTTTGCCCACTTTGTAATGGGGCTGTTTGTTTTTTTCTTTTGGGCATGTTTGAGTTCCTTGTAGATCTTAGATGTTAGGTCTTTGTCAGTTTGTCAGATATACAGTTGTCAGTTTTTTTCCCCAGTCTATGGGCTTTCTCCCTCCTCTCTTGATAGTTTCTATGGCTTTGCAGAAGCTTGTCAGTTTGATGAGGTCCCACTTGTCTGTCTTATCCTTTTTTTTTTTTTTGAAGTCTCACTCTGTCATGCAGACAAGTGCAGGGGCCCCTCCCGGCCACTGCAACCTCTACCTGCTGGGCTCCAGCGATCCTTCCACCTCAGCTTTCCAAGTAGCTGGAACTACAGGCGTGTACTACCATGCCTGGCTAATTTTTTATTTATTGTAGAGAGGAGGTCTCGCCAAGTTGCCCAGGCGGGTCTCGAACCCTCAGGCTCAGGCAATCCACTCACCTTGTCCTCCCAAAGTGCGGGATTACAGACTGAGCCACTGAGCCCGGCTTGTCTTATCGCTTACGGCATGGGCACTTAGGGTTTTGATCAGGAATTGGTTGCCAGTTCCAATTTCCGTAAGGGTGTCCCCTGTGTTTTCTAAGGTTCTTATAGTTTGAGATGTTATATTTAGATCTTTGATCCATTTTGAGTTGATTTTTGTGTATGATGATAGGTTAGGGATCTTGTTTTAATCTTCTGCATGTGGTCAGCCAGTTTTCCCAGCACCATTTACTGAATGGGTTCTCCTCTCCCCAGTGGTTGATGGTGGAGGCTTTGTCAAAGATAAGTTGGTTGAGAAATTGAGTTGTTGCTTCCAGAATTTCTGTCTTGTTCCATTGGTCTATATACCTGTTCTTGTACCAATACCAGGCTGTTTTGATTATTACAGGCTTATAATAAAGTTTAAAGTCTGGGAGTGTGATACCTCCCGCTTTATTTATTTTTATATATATATATATTTTTTTTTTTTTTTTTTGCTGAGAATTGTTTTAGCTATCCATGATTGTTTATGTTTCCATATTAATTCCTGTATTGCCGTTGCCAGGACTGAGAATAATGCTGCTGGTAATTTAATGGGTATTGCATTAAATCTGTAGATTGCTTTGGATAGGGTGGACATCTTAACAATGTTGATTCTCCATATCCATGAACGTGGAATATTTTTCCATTTGTTTGTGGCTTCTTTGATTTCTTTGAGCCTTGTTTTGTAGTTTTCATTGTAAAGGACTTATGACTTCTCTGGTTAAGAAGATGCCAAGGTGTTTCTTTTTTGTGTGTGGTTATTGTGAATGGGATTGTGCTTTTTATTTGGGTTTATGCTTTTTTATTATTGGTAAAAAGGAATGTGACTGTCTTTTGCACATTTATTTTATACTCTGAGACTTTGCCAAAGTTCTTCATCAATGCAAGGAGGTTTTTGACAGATTCTCTTGGGTTTTCAAGGTATAGAATCATGTAGTCTGCAAAGAGGGGTAACTGAACTTCCTCTTTTCCTGTTTGGATACCCCTGATTTCATATGGTCTATTTTCATTTAAGAAAATAAATTCTCTTTACAGAACAGTTGGACAAGCTGTGAAAAGCCCGGATAAACTACGGAAGGTGATCTATCACAGAAAGAAAGTTCATCATTCCTTTCCAAATCCTTGTTACAGAAAAAAACAGCCCCCTAGAAGTGGGGGCTGTGACATGGCAAATAAAGAAAATGAACTGGCTTGTGCAGGCCACTTGCCTGAAAAATTACGCCATGATAGTCGAACATACTTGCTTAACTCCAGTGATTCTGGTTCTTCTCAGACAGAAAGCCCATCATCAAAATATAGTGGGTTTTTTTCTGAGGTAAGTCATGTCTGCCTTAACTTTACTCCTGTTATACTCTTGGTTTTTATTCTTTTCTATATTCTATTAGCAGAATAATTTGCTACATACTGACTGCAGACTTGAGTGATAGCAGCTTCCTAAGATAATTTTCTGTATTAACCATGTTTGAATCAGTAATTTATTCCATTTCTTTGGGTTGGCATTATCTAAGATGGAATGAAATGCTTAACAGCCTGCTACCCAGAATGATAAGTTGGCCAATAGAGATGTAAAGGAAAGAAAAGGAGAAATTTTGCCTAAAAAGTGGACCACTGGAGCCAGTTATACAAGCACATTTTGCTGGGTTCTCAAAATTGCCTAATCAAAGCTTTGTACTGGCAAACCTGCTAAGATTTGCTGCTCTTCTGGTTCAAGCAAAATTGGTTGTTTTAACAGACTTAATCCCTTTTGGAGGGTGATAGAAATAGTCTAAAACTGAATTATGATGATGGCTCCACAAATCTGTAAATCTGCTAAAAACTATTGAATTACAATGAATTACTTTCAATGGATAAATTTGATGGCATGTAAATTATATCTCAATAAAGTAGTTTTTATAAAAATAGTTATTTGAAGAAATAGTTTAATGAAATTTGCAAACATATGCATTTATAATAATAAATATATTTATTGTATAAGTTGTAGAAAATAAACCCAAAGGCACATATTGTCCATAATCTAGACATAAATAATAGAAAGCATTTTCTACAGCATACAAGTAGAAAAAAATCTTGGAATAAATGTGTATAGATGAATGAAGATGAGCATCATATTTAGGTACAAGTTACAAGTAAGACAAAAGAAAGGTAGAAAATAGCCAGGCGTAGTGACTCATGCCTATAATCCCAGTACTTTGGGAGGCAGAGGTGAGAGGATTGACTGAGCCCAGGGGTTCAACACCAGCCTGGGCAACTTGTCAAGATGGCTCTACAATAAATAAATTAACCAGGCATGATGGTGCATTCCTGTAGTTTAGTTGCTTGGAAGGCTGAGGAGGAAGGATTGCTTGAGACAGCAGGTTGGGGCTGTGGTAGTATGACTATGACACTGTACTCCAGCCTAGAAGACACAGTAAGACTCTAGCGCAGATAAATAAATAACTTATCCTACATAGTTCTGTGTTATTTTTAAACATTATGGAACAGTGAAATAATACTTTATTATATAAAAGTAAATCGGTACATTAAATGACTGTAGCACTTATCACAGAACTGAGTTTTTGTGGTTCTCTTCTCATGCCATCTTGTGGGTAATGGGTAACCTATATGTTTACCTTTTCTCTTTATCTGCATTATAAATTAATTTTTTTGCCAGCTAAAAATAATTTATTTTATAAATTATTGGGGTTTGAAAGAAAAATGGTAGCAAGCAAAAATAAAGTATTGCTAAAATGTAAAGAAGTTATAAATTTGTTCAGATAGTTTATTAACTATATTCTACTGCAGTACTTCTCTCTTTCTTTTCTTTCTTTTTTTTTTTTTTTGAGTTGGAGTCTCACTCTGTCACCCAGGCTAGAGTGCAGTGGCATGCTCATACACAGCCACCCCAGCATCAACCTGCTGGGCTCAGGCAGTCCTTCCACTCAGGCTTCCGAGTAGCTGGAACTATAGGTGTGTGCTATCACGCCCCGCTAATTTTTTGATTTATTGTAGAGATGAGGTCTCACCAAGTTGCCCAGGCTGTTCTTGAACTCCGTGGGCTCAGGCAGTCCCCTCATCTTGGCCTCCCTAAGTGTTGAAATTACAGGTTTGAGCCTCCATGCCCGGTCCGTATTTCTTTTTGTGGGCCGGTAAAAGGAGTCACCTTTGCGTAAATTAAAACTATGTCTACCAGAATGATTTTTATCAAAAAACAATTTCATATCATGAGGCATTGTGCCTTTTAACAAATTAAGTCACTGCTTAAAAGATTATTGCCTTTCAGGTTTCTCAGGACCATGGAACAATGGCCCAAGTTTTGTTCAGCAGGAATTTGAGACTGAACGTAGCTTTAACTTTCTGGAGAAAGAGAAGTATAAGTGAACTTGTAGCTTATTTGGTGAGGTAAGTGTGACCTTTTATGCTGTATGTTCAATAAAAGTAATTTTTAATATGCTATTAGAAGTGTCTCTTCTTTTAAGTACTGGCTAAAATTTTAAACTTTTTATGGCTAGCTTCAATACAGACAATATGGTTTGAATTACATTCTGCACCAATCTTAAGAATAACCAAAATGCAGAAAACCATCTGTTTTAACAGATTGAGCACAGCTGTTCCATTTTCTGTCTACCATTCTTATTTATGACACAGAGATACCAATATGGGAAAACTAACTTTTAAAAAATTCCTTCTAAGTAGGGATTTTAAGCATTACTTTCCTCAATGTATTTAAGACTCTCAGATGTTACCTTTGTGAGGCCTTCCTTGACTACCTTATTTAAAGATACCTGTTTTCCCATTTCCTATTATCTTTACCTGTTTTATTTTTCTCCACAACACTTACCATCAACCTATTCTGTTTTATTTATCTGTTATTGTTTGTCTCTGCCCCTTACCCACTCCTCTGACTTGCTCACATGCTGGAATGTAAGCCCTGTCTCTTTGTTCATTGTTGTATCTCAGCACCTGACTCATAATAGATACTGAAATTATGCTAGAAAAGTGAATTTCTCAAAAGTAGTGTAAAGATTATAATATGAAAGTAAATAAAGAAGTCAGCTCTCTGAGGCAATGCTATTCTTCTTGAACCCACAGGATAGAAGATCTTGGAGTTGTGGTAGATTGCCTTCCTGTACTCACCAATAGGTAAAAACAATATTTTTGAGGAAAAAAAGTAAGTTTAAAGCAGGTCAAATTATGGCCTGTTCATATTTTTATAACTTGGTATTTCTTTATTTTAGTTTACAGGAAGAAAAACAATATATCTCACTTGGCTGCTGTGTAGACTTGTTGCCTCTAGTAAAGTCACTACTTAAAAGCAAATTTGAAGAGTAAGTATTAATCTGAATCTTGATTCATTTTTGTTTTTCAGCATCCTTGATTTCGTGCTTTGTGAGTACATAGCAGTAGATTGGGTTCCATGAGACATATGTTGTTTCAGTCTTCCGGAGCTTACAGTACAACTAGGAAAAGAATGTGAAATGACTAAAGAACAATTACAAAGGCAAACAAGTTACATAAAATACAATTTTGTGAAATAGATCATGAAAGTAGTGAAATAAATTTTTAATGGGGGAAGATCAATGTGTATATGTGTTTTGGGGGGAAGGGTATCATCATTTATAAAACCTTTAGATGAAAATACTTGAATTTTATAACAAAATGTCATTTCAGATATGTTATAGTTGGCCTGAACTGGCTTCAAGCAGTCATAAAAAGGTGGTGGTCAGAACTGTCATCCAAACCAGAAATTATAAATGATGGGTGAGTTTATACCTTTAAAGATAAACTCATGCTGAAATTTTCTTAAAGAACAGCTTGTTTAACTTGATGATAATTTTACCCCATGAGTATAATATGTAATATTTATCTCTTCATTTTTAGAGAGACATTAACTTGAGATACTGTTCATTTGTGAAAATCACACATAGAAGTTGAATCCCAGAACCTAGTAGCCCTCTGTGTCTTTTGCAGAACCCTTTTCTTCATTTTAGGAAGACAAAGCACAGCAGTGGTTTAATTCTCATATCCATTATATGAATAAGGCAGGGGGAAAGAGATGCCTTTAGTGGAATAACAAATGGTGATATCCTGCAGGGTCCCTTGGCCTAGGCATTAGCCTGAGAGTCTAATGCTGAGGATTACAGTTCTAAAAACTTATTGCAATGTTCATAATTTGAGTATTGTCTTGATGTGAAAATGTGTGAGTATTCTACCAGAGTAGCCAGATTATTGTGAAGCCACACCCATAAAAATCTCCCAACAGTCTCCTTAAAGCCCATAATTTTCTTTCTAGGCTCTCAAAATTTCCCACTTCATACCCAAGGGCAGGTTTTCCAAATGCCTAGTTTTTTTTCTTACCTGCTCTGATAACTAAAGTAACCTTTCATTTTCATGACTGACATACTATTCTAAACAGTTGTTTGACTTTAAGTAGCATAGTTTTCTCTTGATAAAACCTGAATATTTTAAAACTGTTTTTATTAAGTGTATTTACTATCAAAGTCCATATCCTACTACATTTGCTTTTGCATTTTTCTTCTTCTTTTCTCCTAGAAATATTCAGATTTTAAAACAACAATTAAGTGGATTGTGGGAACAGGAAAATCATCTTACTTTGGTTCCAGGATATACTGGTAATATAGCTAAGGTAATCTATATTAAAGCTTTAAAATTAGACATTAAAAATTAGAAATAACCAGGCATAATGACTCATACCTGTAATCACAGCACTTTGGGAGGCAGAGGTGAGAGGATTGCTTGAGCCCAGGAATTCAAGACCAGCCTGGTTAACATAGTGAGACCTCGTCTCTATGAAAAATAAAAAATTAGCCTGGGGAGGTGGCGTATGCCTATAGTCCCAGCTACTTGGGAGACTGAGGCTGAAGGATCGCCTGAGTTCAGGAGGTTGAAACTGCAGTGAGCCGTGAGTATGCCACTATACTCCAGCCTGGGCAATAGAGACCCCCAACTAGAAAAAACAAAATAGAAATAATATATTAATACTATACATTTATAAATGAACTTTTCAAATCTCTAGACAAAATAATTTGGTACTGTTCTAATAAGGTCTAAAGTCAATTTTATATTTGTAATTGCTTAAGGTCCTTTGAGTATGACTTAATCCATTGAACATGTTTCACTTAGAGCTACAGAAATGCTGTGCTAGAGTGTACCTAGTATAAAACACAGTCTTTAAAAAGTATGTTAATGAAAAAAATATTTGAAAAAAGTTAAGAATCCAGTAAAGTCAGAAAAAAGTTTAAGAATCCACAAAAGACAGCATCAGAAAACAAGAAAATGAGGGACTCAGGGAATGAGATAAGGAACACAGCCAAATGGTTTGGGAATATTAATTTTTACTTTGCTTTTGCTTATATCATGCTTTTTTGAGAAAGTAAACTGTTTAAATCAGTGAATTTGACATTGGTTTTCATTGACTTGCTTGTCTCTTAAAGAAAAAGATACATTTCTAGTTTTGTTTTGTTTTTTTTTGAGTTGGAGTCTCTGTCGCCCAGACCGGTGGGCAGTGGCATGCTCATGGCCACCACAGCCTCAATCTGCTAGGCTCAGGTGATCCTTCCACCTCAGCTTTCCAAGTAGCTGGAACTATAGGTATTTGCCATCATGCCCAGCTAATTTTTCTTGATTTATTGTAGAGATATGGTCTTGCCAAGTTGCCTCTCAAACCCATGGGCTCAGGCAATCCTCTCACCTCAGCCTCACAAAGTGCTAGGATTATGGGCGTGAACCTCCATGTCTGGCCTTTCTTTCTTTTTCTTTCTTTCTTTCTTTCTTTCTTTCTTTCTTTCTTTCTTTCTTT